TTCTCCTACTGAGTTATTTAGTTCCTCCTTTGGCAAGTGCAAGGTTGTTCCTTGTGGTACCTGTATTAGCACTTGGTTCAGTCTAGATTTAAATATTTGTCCCAGGCAATATTGATTTTATTTATTTATTTATTTTTGCTACTTTATTAGAGGATTGAATATGCAGATTGCATTCTTTGTTCTTCACTGTGTAGATACAAGGATTTTTAGCTAGCTGCTACTTAAGAATTTTTATACTGTTTTTAGACCCTACTGTCAGGTCAGCCCATAGTAATAATGATCTTAAGACAGTGCTCCGGAAGGCCTTGCACATCTTAAATGAAATCCTAGCTCCACCAAAGTGGAGGATTCATCCTTTGGCCTGGATTTAACCCAGGCTAGGAACAATTGTTGCATTCGTCCCTGGACAAGTTGTTTTTGTTTGTTTATCCCCAAGTAGAAGTGTCCCAGGATTGGCATGTACACACCTTACCCTTCTAGTCAGGGTTTAGTGAGCAGCTGAATGCAATGCTGCTTTTCTGCTGCTTATTCAGTGATACAGTTAACTGTTCAGATGCACTTTGTGATATCCTAGGAAAAAGTGGTAGTACTTCTTGTTCCATTAACTTTTATAAGATTAATCCTGGGACAATTGACCTATCTCCATGGAGACCCTATCCACCCACCTGCCCACTCCGTCCAGTGCTTTCAGTGCTGGGTGTGGAGCAGACAAGCCGGGGTGCTCAGGCAGTGGAGCCGGGGCTGGTGGTAGCAACAATGGCAGCAGCAGCCAGAAGGAGCTCCCACTGCTGTGGCTTTTAGGAAGCTGAGTCCATCCACTGTGCCATCCCAGTCCCACTGTGCATCTGGGGGTGGCTGCACATGCCACAGCCTGGGCATCCTCCCTGCACCTGGACTGGGTGGGGTCGAGGGACCTGCTGTGGACCGGATAAAATCCCTTGGCGGGCTGTATTTTTTTCCATCCCTGAGTTAAGGCTAATTATGGGTCTTAGTATCTGACTTTTGATAGGACAGTATTTATGAGGAAAGTCAATTAGATTGAGAGAATTTGTCCACCGTCAGTACTCTTCTGCTTGCTTTTCAATCGCAGGATGTGCACCAATTTTAATAATGTAAGCAAGATGACAATGTATATTGAAAGGCACAGTTATAAATACCATGTTTTACCTAGTTTATCTACTTTTTAAATTTGTCATTTAGATGTAGGGGCCCTTAAATTGAATGGTGCTAACCAAGGAGAGTGCTTGTTCTCATTCTTTTCCACATGTATAGTTGGCGTCTTTTAGCAGGAAACATGCATATGAAATGCCAAAGAAAAATAATTCTCATTTTCTTTGTTGTCTTTTTTGTAGTGAAACTTTCTGACATCAATTTCTTTTATCTAGTCAGTGAGGCATTTTCTCTATAATCCACTTTTATTTTGCTGGTTTGGGTGTTATATAGACTATAAATCAATCTTCACTCTTTACACTGGTTAAACGAGTTTACTTACTATAAAATCCTTCTCAAGGCTTACTTCCAAAGTGCATCCATTAGACCAGTCTGTTTAATCCACATTCTCTAAGACAGCAACCCTAAGACCTCATGTTCAGTCTGACCAGACTGGCAGTTTGCCCCTCTGTTGTAACCTTGGAGAGCCATTAAAGGTTTCCAGTTGCATCATAAGAGCAACTGTCGAGTGGATATATGATAGGGCATCTGGGAAAGCAGCTTGTGACAATTCGTGGTTTACTAGAACTTTTTCCTACAATACCCCCTTGTTTTTTTGTTTGTTTTTTTACAAAGAGTCAAGGATGTTACATATGCATTGCTCTTGGGGCATGACCAAGTTCCTTTTCATTCAAAATTCTAATGAATCGGACTATGCCATACCCTGAAACTAGTTGTTTTTGTTCTGTTTCAGTGTCAGTCTCTAGATTATCAGTAGTAATTGCACAATGTCATATGGTTAAAAATATATTCAAATTATGTTCATGTTTGTTTTCACAAATAACTATAATGGCATTATGTAAATTCATTCTCAAGCTTTACTGTAGTGTTTACTGTCTGGCTGTACATATCAAATAATGGAGACAGCCTTGGAAAACGTTAGTGTATTTTCAAGGTGGTCCTTTGGCTTAATTTCTCTTTACATGTCTTAACTGCCTTACTTTGTACTAATGACTAGGTGCCAATGTGTATTTTGATCCTTTGTGTTTTGTAAGAATGAATGCTTGTAAGACTGGGTCACTGGAGGATCAAAAGATTACTAGTGATGCATATCCTTTCATCCCTGGGTCATCAGTTCAAGCCCAACCCATGTTACTGGTCATTTAATGCTGTTGCAACCTGATGGCTTTTAGGATCTTAGAAAAGGGTGGAAGGGATCTTGCAAGGTCATCTAGTCCAGCAAATTGCTCAAGGCAGGTAGTCTTTAAGTGTTAACTATAGGCCAAATCCTCTTTCACCTCTAATGTCTAAGTGACACTTACATAGCTAGATATACAATTTTTGGCACTCATGCAGAGTTTAGACTTTCCCCTTGCATGCCTACATTCATCCTGTGCTTCCCTTCTGATCTTGCTCAGAAGGGTGCATTATGGCTGTGTAGACTGTAGGATGGACGAAAATTATTCAGGTACATGAATAATAAGTTTCAGATAAATCCCTGAAACTTTTTGGCCTTATTTGTTTTCCAGTGTGAAAAACAAAGAGCTGTTTTCATTCTAAAAGCAAATAAAGGGAAATGCAGAAGATGGGTGTAAGTTGAAGGATTCGTTATAAATAGGGTTCATAGCACCATCTATTAAAGTTCACATCATTAAGTTTGCCCATGGGCTATGTGTTGGCTGCATTTAATCAATCTCATAGTTTGCTTCCATTACTGAGCACATGCTGCTTTTAGCAGCAGCTTAATGATAGACAGTGTATTTATTGAGGTTTCCTTGTATTCAAATTTAAGACCAGGAGCTTTATCTCCCCATGCTGATGGGAAGAAGGGGAGAGGGAGCTTCATTGTATATTCAAGTAAATGTCTTATTTGAGTAAATACGGTTAAAAAGTGAGAGTATTGTTTTGACCTGGAAATTAAGTGCTTTAGCAGCATGTTATTGTGCAGAGGATCATATCTATTTCTGTTCTTGCCTTGCTAGAGCACGAGGACATAGTTACAGAGAGAGACAACATGTTCTCAGATTGAAGTTAAGGGAATTGATCATTCTGTAGCAACCTGTTCCTCTATTTCAGGAATAAGTGTGTTATGCCCCTGGAGGAAGAAATGCCAGCCTTGACAATCAGAAGAGGGTCATTCTTAGTTGTGAAAGGTTGGAAGAAAATGCTCCTCTACATTTGGGATTCTTAGTGTCTCATTAATATTCTAGCTCTGTCGTGAATAGCAGATCTTTATACCATTTTTTCCCTTCTGTCACTACTTATGCCATATAACAAAAGCAATAAGGCTTGGAGGAGAGAATCTCTGACACAAACTTCATAAAACAAATATCACACTGGAAATTGCCTAAGGTAATTAATTAATCTTTGTGTAAATAGAAGACTTGATGTGCATCTGTAGGGCTATAGGATGCATCTCTGGGGTGAAATAAATTCACCAGTAGAGCTCTGTGCAAGTTGTGAAGCTTTTTCCTTGCAGGTGGGAGGCTCATTATCTTTCCAGTTCAACTCTGTAAGGAAACAAAAATACTAGCTTTCATCTTGGTAGCTGATAAAATATGATACTTGAGAGGAAGTGCAGCTGTTCACCAACTCCTTAGGGAGCTGCATGCTAGCTGGAGAGCACTCAGGTGAAATTAATTCTCTGGTTACAGGATAGGAACAACACTACTTGCTTATCCAGGCTATACTTTTTTCCATGTAAATTTAGCCTTTCCTATAGAGAGATCTGCACATGCACACACACACTTATGAAATCAGGAATCTGCAGCCTAATAAGCCAGTGTGGATATCATCAGAAATACAAATGCAAGCAGGCCATCTGTGGGAAGTCTGCTTAGTGTGGGCATGCTGGGGCAAACCCTTGAGCTGTGTCTGAAAGGAAGACCCAGAAGATGCTTCACTTTCTGTATGTCTTTTGTGCATTCTGGGCCTGAAACATGCTTTGGGAATGCAGCTGAATCTGGCTGAGCAGAAGTGACCAGACTTACTGCATTGATGTACTTCCACTTCTTCCTTCCATTCCCTAAAATATGGGTAATGCAGAGCAGTCAGCCAAGGTTCCCTCTAAGCTGTGCGTGTGCACGGCTGCGCACAATTAAAAATCTTTTAAACTTTTTAATGCCATGCACCCGCCCGGAGAGGAGCTGGGCACAGAGTGTGGCGTGGGACACTTACCGAAGGTAAGCTTACTTCTCATGCAGGGCAGGCAGCTTACCTTCGGTAAGTGTCCCACGTCGGCCCTGGTGCCTCCCTTCCAGTTCTACCAATTGATTGTGTCCGGCCCATGGCTGCCCCACAGCACTCCACTACACTGCTCTGGGCAGCAGTTAGCATGGAGAAGGGTGGTGGCCAATTCCTGCCCGCTCCCACCTGGATACTTACTGTGGGACAGTTACAGGCGGACTGTGCCGAAAGGGGGAGGCAGGACCAAAGCGGCACGCTCACGGACTGCTACTCCTTAGAGGGAACATTGCAGTCAACTAGGGATGGAGTGCTTGGGTATAAAACCTGTTTATTTTTAGATTGATCAAAACAACTATTTACCTCAACTGTAACTTGAGCAATAGTATTAAATTGTGGGTGATACTGACTTTTATTCAAAGTTAGAATTTTGCTTGTATTTGCATAGGTATGAATAGAAGTAGCTCATGGTATAGCAGTAGCTTGTGGAATAGCATCTGTATAACCAGGCCTTCAGCTGAAAAGTTAAATAGAAGAGTGTATCCCCCATATACATAACTAACTTCTTCCTTCTGGCCAAAGGCAACAAGCCTGCGATGGGAGCAGGAGAATAAATAACATCACAGGTTTTGGCTGCTAAAATGGCAACTCTTCTCCATTCCCTCTAGGTTTGGAGGGGCACACTAGCCCGCCTTCACTATAAGAGGACACGGGCTGCCCTCACAATCATCAAGTACTACCGGCGCTACAAAGTGAAGTCCTACATCCACGAGGTGACCCGGCGCTTTCACAACGTGAGATCAATGAAGGATTATGGCAAACATGTGAAGTGGCCAACCCCTCCTAAAGTGCTGCTTCGATTTGAAGAGGCGCTGCAGGCAATCTACCACAGGTACAAAAACTGATCCCTGCCCTCATCCTTGAATTCTGGATATGAAGCCTTGACAGTAGATGCTGAATTCCTTTGCGAATATGTTTTCCATATATCAGGTGGAAGAAAAATTGGTGTATCTTAAAGCTAGGTTTAAGATTAGAATACCTGCAGACCCTGCTACAATTGACTGAGTAGTATAGTGACCTACTGAAGCTTCTTGGAGTGATCTAACAAATGAGTGAGAGGTGTTTAAATGGTGAGGAAGAGGAATCCTCATGACTCCCTCCAGACTTTGTGTAGTAAATTAGTCTTTTCCTGCAGCAAGGACAATTTGGATAATCTGCTTGCTGTTCTGGGCAGGGTAAGACCCATCCTATATATTTGTAATCTACATTTAATGGCCTCTGCCTAGTATTTAGAGATGTCAGGAATAAGGGCTCTTAATCTCAATAGTAAGTGTAATATCCCTTAGTTCCAGTGCTGGAGGGTAGAGAAATGAGACTGCAAATAGTAAGTTGCTGAGTACCTCTCTTCCTTGGGTTTGTTCAGTCGTAGCCGCTGACCTTGGTGGCTAAAAGGCATTTTGTAATGTTAGGCCTGCACAGCCAATGCTGCTACAATTGAACCTGAAACAATGTGGCCTAATACATATACTGGACAGGAAGTCTAGAGACCTGAATTCTAATTATAGTCCAGTCATTGATCTGAGTTGGCCAAATTGTTTCATCTCTATATGCCTTCCTTGCTTTCTTGCCTCTTATTTGACTTGCTTGAGATTTGTTAAATCTTCAGAACAGGGGCTGTTTCTCATGGTGCTGCTCATAGGTAGCCTAGCACAATTGGGTCCAAATTTAGTTACAGGTTTGAGACGTATCTGTAATTCAAATCGGAATGAGCTAGACTACCCAGGAAGAGTTAACTGAGTTCCAGCTACAAGGCTAAATTCTGACACGAATGGAGTTGTAACTGAGCCAAGAATTTGGCTTGCAAAACCTTTATTATGAGCAGATGTACAAGCAGTTAACTGAGGATGACTTCTGGATGCCAGGCAAAGTTTTCAGGACTGTCAGTTAGGAAAACATTTTCACTTGTAAATTGCAGATTTATTTGAAAGCAGAAACTATACACATGAAACTTTGCGATGGCATTTCTTACAGTGTACCTTTTAAAGACAAGTACGTTAGAACAGCAAGAGCTACAAAGGTCTGTTTCCCCTTAGCCCTGCTTACTTTGTGAGCTTGAGGTCTGGAGTTGTCTCCTTGTTAAACTGATGGAGGAGAATGGATGTGGGTAGGTGGTGTTGCTGCTGCACACAAACTTTGGAACTGATTAGGTTGGGGTTTTTTTCCCCCTAGGTGGAGAGCAAATGAGCTAATCAAGAGCATCCCACAAAAAGACTTGCCTCAGCTCAGGGCTAAAGTTGCTGCCGTTGAACTGCTGAAGGGTCACAGAGCCGATATCGGGCTACAAAGAGCATGGGAGGGTAACTACCTTGCATCGGTGAGTGCGGTGACAAAAGCGAAATCTTCAGTCCGTGCAAATGAAAAGGAAGGAGTTTCTCTTTACTGGAAATCTGGGAGGGTGAAGGTCTGAAAATGGCATGTGTTCTAGACATTAAGCACGTTTAAACTTTTTCATTTGTGAATTAGGTTGTATATAATGTCAGAAAGGTTCTGACATCTAATGTGCTAGGCATTTAATTTTATAAATACTAAGCCTTGTTCAATAACTTTGTTAGTCAAGTGACCACTTAATGCCATAAGCTGACAGTTCTGCTGGCCACCAATAGGAAGGAAAATGCAACAGGAGGATAAAATTGGGTTGGCAAGCTGATAACCAGTCAAATATTGTCAGTTGACAGGTCAATTGACTGCATATTTTTAACCAGTCAAAGATTATAGCAATTTTACAAAAACCCCTACTTTTTTGTAGTTTTCTTTACAAATATGATTCTTTAAAATTGCTTTTGACACATTTCTTAATGGAATTTGTTTTAGTTTTTGTGTATTATTTGGACCTGTTGGCAATTTTTTACAATTTTTGACCGATGTTTGCCTGATTAACTGACCTCACTTGATTTGCCTGGTCAAATACCTAACCCAAGGATAAAGTTCCATTAATTAAGGATGAACACTAGGAAGTGATTCTGTGATGAAAGACTAGATGGAGGAATCCATTAAATCTGCTTCTCAGAGCAAGATGGAAATCTCCCAATGTGTCTTCCTCCAAAACAGCTTCTTCAACTTGCTTCATCCTTCCTATTCCCCATCAACCCTTTGTTTCTAAAGTTCTTTAGAAAGGTATGTAAAACTCAGGATGCTGTGTTTCTGTTCTGCCATGCAATGTCTGATGAAGTCTTCTGATAAAGTGGTATAATACAGACTTCTTGGTGAGTTTGCAATTCCATCAGGCCTAAGATGACAAAGCACAATTGCTTTCTTCAGTAATTAAGACAAATTACTGCCTTTGTTTGCTCTTCCAGAAACCTGATAACCCACAGACCACAGGCTCTTTCATCACTGTTGCCAATGAGCTGAAAAGGAAGGACAAGTACATGAACGTGCTCTTCTCATGTCACGTCCGTAAGGTAAAGCAGCATGAGTGGTGGAGGGAAGTAAGGTCTGTGGAAATTCAAAAGTTGTGCTGGGAAAGGGAGTTCCACTAATTTCCTTGTGGCTGAGGTGAAGTGTTCTCAGTGGAGGGTGAACAGATAAAGCTTTTAAGCTGTGCCACCTGGTCATTTGTCCTTGGGGAATTTGGGTAGAGCTAAATTTAACTTTAGGTTCAAAACAACAACCCAAATCAGATTTGTGTCTTTGGAAGTTTAATTCCATAACAGCTCACTGGTGCTGGATAATAAATTATTCTCTGTGTTTATAATGTGTTCCAAAGGGAGAGTAGGGACATAATTCTCTCTTTCCTTAGTGTTTGTGAGATCACCAAAGGTAATGTATTCTCAGCGTTCACTCTTTGCTCCTGGTGCAAAAGATTCATATTTAAAATGCTACCAGTTGTGGAACAGCCGATGTGAACTGCATTGATTTTACAAGTAAGGCTATGTTGTTGTACCAGTTAGGTAGGCTATTTTTAGCAAGGATTTTCACCAGCAAAATGAAAGCCTTGGGATTTAATTTGTTTAGAGGAACAATGTCAGTAGGGACGCATTCTATTCTTGTCACATTTTGAGCAGCAGTATTGGAGGGGCAGGGTTCTTTTTTTTCTTTTTTTTTTTTGACCACTAGTTAGCTTTAGCCTTTGATCAAATTCTATGAATGAAATGAAGATCATCTAAGGATATCTTAAACACAAAAAGGAAGTTTACAAAAAGTGGAAGCTTGAACAGTTGACTAGGGAGGAGTATAAAACTATTGGTGGGGCATGCAGAAATGAAAACAGGAAGGCCAAAATGCAATTGGAGTTGCAGTGATCAAGGGATGTGAAGAGTGACAAGAAGGGTTTTTACAAGTATGTTAGTAGCAAGAGTAAGGTCAAGGAAAGTGTTTGGGTCCCTTACGGAATTGGGGAGGCAACCAAGTGACAGATGATGAGGAAAAGGCTGAAGTACTCAATGCCTTTTTACCTTGGTCTTCACAGGCAAAGTCAGCTTTCAGACTACAGTACCAGGCATCACCGTTTGGGGAGGAAGTGAGCAGCCCTTAATGGTGAAAGAACAGGTTAGAGACTATTTAGAAAAGCTGGATGTGTACAAGTCCATGGGGCCAGATGCAATGCATCCAAGGCTGCTGAGGGAGTTGGCTGATGTGATAGCAGAGCCACTGGTCATTATCTTTTGAAAACTCGTGGCAATCAGGGGAAGTCCCAGACAATGGAAAGGGGCAAATATTGTGCCCATCATTAAGAAAGGGAAGAAGGAGGATCCAGGGAACTACAGACCAGTCAGCCTCACCTCACTCCCTGGAAAAATCATGGAGCAGGTCCTCAAGGAGTCCATTTGTAAGCACTTGGAGGAGAAGGTGATTAGGAACAGTCAGCATGGATTCACCAAGGGCAAGTCACGCCTGACCAACATGATTGCCTTCTATGATGAGATGACTAGCTCTGTGGATGCAGAAAGAGCAGTGGTCATAATAGACCTTAACTTTTGACATGGTCTCCCATAGCATTCTTGCCAGCAAGCTGAGAAAGTATGAGTTGGATGAATGGACTCTAAGGTGGATAGAAAGCTGGCTGGATCATCGGGCTTAACGGGTTGTGATCAGTGGCATAAGGTCTAGCTGGCAGTGACCCAGGGGTTGGTCCTGGGGTTGGTTTTATTTGATATGTTAATGAATGACCTGGAAGATGGGATGGAGTCCACCCTCAGCAAGTTTGCAGATGACACCAAGCTGGAGAGTAGGGCTAGGATTCAGTGGCCTAGACAAATTGGAGGATTGGGTCAAAAGAAATCTCATGAGGTTCAACAACTTGTATGGTGGAAGTTATGGGGGAGCGTGGTCACGCTTGAATATAGCCTACAGGTACAGGTGGACCTAGACAGGCTAGCAAGTTGGGCAGATCGGAATCTGATGAAATTCAACGTCAAGAAATGTAAAGTGCTCCACCTTGGGATGAACAACCCCCCAACACACTTACAGGTTTGGCAGCACCAAACTGACTAGCACCACGAATGAAAGGGACCTGGGGGTAATAATGGACCACAGTATGAATATGAGCCGGCAGTGTGATGCTGTAGCCAGTAGGGCAAATAATACTCTGGCATGCATCAATTGGTGCATCTCAAGTAAAACCAAGGTGGTGATTCTTTTGCTGTACTCAGCACTGGTGTGACTGCAGCTGGAGTACTGCCTCCAGTTCTGGGCATCACACTTTAACAAGGACATGGACTGGTTTGAGAGAGTCCAAAGAAGAACCACCCTTATGATCAGTGTCTCAAAAGGCAAGCCATATGAGGATAGGCTGAGGGATCTGGGACTCTTCAGCCTGAGGGAAAGAAGGCTGAGAGGGGACCTGGTAGCAGCTTACTGCTACACTAGGGGAGTACATCAAGGGCTTGGTGAGCAACTGTTCACTAGGGCACCCAAGGGGAAAACCAGGAGTAATGGCCACAAACTCCTGGAAGACCAATTCAGGCTCAATATTAGGAAAAACTTCACAGTCAGGGTGTCCAGACTGTGGAATAAGCTCCCGCCAGAGGTGGTGCAATCACCTACACTGGAGCTCTTCAAGAGGAGACTAGACAGTCACCTTGCTGGGCTCACCTGACCCCCAGTTATCTTTCCTGCTTGGTGCAGGGGGCTGGATCCGATGATCTTTCTGAGGTGCCTTCGCGCCTTACAATGTATGAATGTATTGCTGGGACAGAGTTTTCTATTTTGTTCAAGTGAATTCAGCATTAGGAGAGTAATTTCTCTGGCAACGTTATTATTAAAAATTACTACTTTTTAAAAAGTTTTGAGGAATTGAAAAGGACATGTGCAGAATAACATTACTAACTTGTAAACAAGTATATATCAGATAAATTGAAGAGGAATTGAGTATGGTTATTAGTGCTTTTACAGGTATTAAAATCATATTGCCTTAGATAGTTTCATTGCTTTTTTTTGAGTGGAAGCAGAACAAAATGTTAGTGATGGTAGGAACTCTTGCAGTATGTGCATATACTTTTGAAATTTTGCAGAGCTTAATTTTGCTCAGTGCTTTACAGTTTTTAAGACTTAAAATTTATTTGTTATCACACATTCATTCAATTTTGAAGATAACACACTAAGATAAGACATTTGATTTTCTGAATTAGCAAAGAGTTATACCTTATTCTGTTTAGTAATTGCAGGCCAAGGACCTCACAGTTGCAAAGGCTAGCATGAGAAGGAATGTGATTTTGTTAAAGGGATAGATTGTTTTTGGTTATGAAACATGAGAATTTGAAGGAATGAACACGCACAGTCCTTGGGTTTCCAATGCCATTAGATTTCACCTGATGGAGACAGTATTGCTATTTCTCATTTTAGTGTTTTGTTGCATCAGTGTCTCATTACTTAAATGCAATCTTTGGAATGCAGAGAGATTGTGCGTAGTCTCAGCATGTAGTACTCTTGCCTATCATGAAGGCTGAACCTCCCTCCCTATCCCTTCAGTATTTGAAGGTCATTCTCGGGCATTTTGGAGATGGAGGAAGCTGCAGCTCATCAGCTATACTTTCAGAAGCAAACTCATGCTGTAATTGGAAAATATTGAAGGGAACACAGAGTTATAGAAATGCAGTACTCTAACCCTACTTCATAGTTTTTCAAAATGTAATCTTAACTTTTTGATCTTTTGAAAGGTCAGATTGTTGGCAACTTTTTAATTTTGTGGAGGTTAGGTCAGATTCATTTTCCAAGGAGACAGCTGAGGAAAACTTTTTCAAGCTATATTACCATCAAGAACAAAAGCATATGGCTGGAGGATATGTATTGCAATGGAATATATAACCATTTTGAAATCTTACTTTTAAAAACATTTATTTTTGTCACCCGTTCTTGAGCACTTGTATCAGATACCATCCAAATTAAATAGTTAAAGACTATGGCTGTTCCTTTGGGATCCTCAAGGGATTAACTGAAGCCAGTTTGTCTGAACAAATACTGGAAACAGTTAACTTAGGATAAGACCCTTCATAGATAGCATAGTTCCTGGAAGGCATGGTTGAAACTTGGGTTGCAGAGCTTCACTTTTTTGCTTCTTATAACATTTCTGCCAAAAGCGTTCAATGAGTATTCCCCTGGGTGGATCTAGAATTTTGAAAAGGGGGGTGCAGATGGTAAGGTGCATCATCACATACATAAAGCGTCCACATGAGTACAGACATTTGGTTTCCTGGGGACATCTAGGAGCAGGACCCCTTGTGCTGCCATGACTTGTCCCCAGGGGATGCCTGTGCCACGCAGTAGGTTAACCTGGGTTAAGTGGGGGAGGCTGGAGTCCTAGGGGCTTCCTGGGGCTGCAGCAGTGGCAATTCTGCCACTTGGAGCCTGGCCAGCAGCTGGAGTGTGGCTCTGGCCAGCCCGGCTCCGGTTGAGCGGCATGCATTACCCCAGTATGCATCACTACCCCCTTTTTTTGGCATGGGTTTTTTTGACTCGTGGATATCCAGGGGTCAAAAAAGTCCCCCACACTGCTCCCTTGCAGTGCAGAGAACAGCTAACTGTGCAGTATGTGGTGCCCCAGATATGTCTGCAGTGCCACATACCGCACGGCTGCGCTCATCGGAATGCAGCCCATGTGTTTTTTCTGTGGTGAAAAAGAAACTAGAAGCTTTACTAATATGCTAGGGGCCTCAGGTGGTATTATTCACTTTAAGATTGAAGCAAAAACAAATATACCTTCAATCGAATGAGTTAAAAACAGTCTGCTGTGAAATGGGAGCTCCGTAACCAGGAGCAGCTAACAGACATGAGAATTACAGAGCAAAAGATAGTTTGATTGGTGGAACATCAAGACCATTAAAAAGAAGGGAGGGTCATTAACATCTGTGGGATGAAGAGTTTAAAAGAGATCAGATAGATTAAGTCAGTTGACTCCATTAAGTTGACCATTAAGTCAGTTGACTCCCTCAGCACTACTGACTAGAAGTGCTGCAGCCACTGC